TCTAATCTGTACCATACTCTCGTACGTCTTTTATTACCTATTCTGAACCTGCATTGATACAAGTGAATCGGACCTCTGAAAAAGCCTTCCAACGAAAGTTTTCTTGCATCCGCACCTACATGAATACACTTAAAAAGTAGAGCCAATTTAATCCAAACGCCACAAATCCGCGTTAGGTCTTCTCAGCGTCCCATTCCTTAGCGTCTCCCACGTTGGTCACACAGCTCCAGAAAGCTGTCGTGGTTGTCCTGTTCCAGATTCTTTCCCTGCTATCCAACCTTCCTCAGGAAATCACAATTAACTAGTTCTGTATTCCTGCAGTGACCTATCACCACACTTTTCCCATCCTGCAAACTCAATTCATCTAAAAAGTGGGTCCTAGATAGTGTCCATTGGAGCGAATAGGTCACAGAGACTTTAGGGAAAATACAAGTAAAAATGGATAATCCTCAGTTCAAATTTGAAACAATGCAACGCCTTTTGATGAATCATACCTTGAGACGTGTTCTGTGACCAAGGAATACGGTGTTTAGGATGCATACAAGTCAGATGTACAAGACTAGTTGGCTGTAAAATATATAAAATGTGTGTGTTCGTGATGAACCTCCTTTTCAGTGGAGAAATGAGCTGGAATGGTACAACCTAGACAGATAACAGGAGTGGTGTAGCTATCTGGGAGACACGAATGAGTAGGACGCTGCGGAGGCTCTGCATCAGTCAGTTCGCCTCCGCAGATGCGGATTTAGTGGAAATGCCGCTGGAAGACATTACCTGGGGAACATACGATGGCTAGGCACCACCCTCCTTAAACGTAGGTTTAGCCAACTAGTAGCATTGTAGAAGCAAAGGGGGAAGCAGCGGTGTATGTATACGTAGCGCAGATTCGGGGAGATTCATGAAGGGGGGCGCATTTAATACCTAGAACAATGGCTGGCTCGGTTGGTGATAAAATGCTGTAAGGGTGAGAATTCCTAGGATGTAAATGAGAAGAACGTCGGGACCTTCCACAGGCTGACCCTAGGGCAAGCCGCTAATAGAAAAGAGCAATGGTAATGGTGGCGCGCGATAGTGAGAGTCGTTCGTCGCATGAATGACAGGAAACCTCAGAAGTCGTGGAGTCGGGAGTTCTTCTTGCTTAAAGCTCTGTTCAGTTTAAATGGTGGCATCGAAATGGTGCGAGGTATCGGTCTGATGGGTAGGCTACATAAAGTGGCGAGATTTGATTGAGTGACGTGAATGAGTTTGGGTAAGAAATAATTATATCTGCTATTAGTATAGACAGGGTGATGCGAGAAATTTGCGGATGTAATCTAACAAAACTAACCGTTGCAGTATAAGAGAGTAGGAATAGTTACTACAAAGTAAATGGGGATGATCAGATTAAAGCTATTGGCAAGCCTTCGATGATCGAAGAATAGACGAAAAATGAGACATGAAAAGTGAAGTGAAAGAGGAGCCGTTAATTACCAAGGCGTATCCACCTCCATGATGAGACAACAGAGCAGCAGGCCAGCGTGCCAAAAGTGGTACCAATGGAGCCAGATATGCGCCCGCGACTCGGCGTGCTTGCGTCGATGCCGACTCATACGACTCCTGGGGAGGTGAAGATGAAGCAAAGGTCCGAGCAGAGGAGCTGGATGGTGGGGGCGGTATGTACGATCGAAGTATAGCCTCAAGACGAACAAGCAGACCCGCGGCCAAGTGGACTCCCACTGCCTCAGATGGCACAGATGGACTGTTGCTGACCGTACAAGCCCCTCCTAAATTATTTGATGAAATCGGATTTAGTGGGGGTGGCGAAGACTCGGCGGTGGTCAATGAGAAGGCCGAATCACGGCTTGCTCGCACTGAAGAAGGACTGAGGCTCCCTGTGGTCTTTGTAATAGCATGTCTAAACCGATTGGCGCAGGCGTGAATGCATAGGAGATAAGGAGGTAAAGAGGTGGGAAATTAAGTTAAGGTTAAATAAAGTAGCTAAACAGACATGCGATAAGTGATGGGTAAGCAGGCCTGCAGGTCGTAGTATAAAAGAGTATAATCAATTTCTCAAGAACGAACCCGAAATAACCCAAACGACCAAAGCGCAGAGTGAAAATGCGAAATATTGTTTTCAATAAAATCAATTTCTCAAACTAGCCTTAACGACCAAGAGCAAAGAACACTCAATCAAAATTCATCAGTTGTACTTAGTGAAAGGCCTACAAGAACCTTTAGGCTCAGGGAGAGATGTAAGAATCGTGAGAATAGTGATTTCACTAAGACTTGCAAGTGGGAAGGCTAAAGACTAGCGAATAAAAAAAATATAATGAAACAATGAAGTAGTCCCTGATAAGGATTATAAATACATCAAATTAATAGCTTTGGTTACCCTGTGTTCAAAAATTCTCTTCACAAAAGCTGAGCCAACAACTAAGAAAGCAAACTCTCAATGAAAGATGTAATTGACAGTAATTGTGATCTATTCACTTCCACTAAATAAATAAAAATGATGAAAAGTTAATGTTCTTCATAACCCAAATAACAACTTCATTTATTCAACGCGAAGGAAAGGTAGGAGAAAATAAAACTGTAAGAAGAAAGGTCGAATGATGAAACCAAGGCTATTAATAGATGCTACAAATTGTCAATCTTTAAGGATAATTTAGTTATAATAAAGGATGCAAAAAAAATAAAATAAAGGCGCTGTTACTAAAACCAGCTAATCATAGCACCAGTTAATTAATGAAATTCTGAGTAGAGGAAAGCTTCCTTTACCTGCTACCAGGAAAACACCTGGGACCAAGCGTTGAGGAATTGATAGTACGGGCATTTCCGTCTATAAGACTGCTCAGCCGCCTAACAAACGAAATTGCACTCTGTATTGCGTCTGTCTATTGAGGGAATATAGACAAAAATAGAATAAAAGAATATGGGAATAATTCACTAACACAGTAAGGAAAGATAAAACGGGGCTTATGTAAAACTGATAGTCGTATTCTATATAGCGCCTAAAAAATTAGAGATAATACTCATAGTAATTAGTAGGAGTTATGCCAAACTGTCATACAAACACTTAGCTCACATGAGTTTGAAAAAATATGTACCGATTAATTGAACAAAACAAAATATAAAGGATGAATGAGACATTAGGGGACCTAACACTCGATCTTAAGCCTTAGGTAATGTATCCAAATGCAACAAAAATTTAAAGAAGGTTTCAGTCTATTTAAGCTAAATATGACCAATAAATCAATAAAGGATAAAGCATTAGCCAGACCTCAT